CCTTAGCTGGTTGAGCTATAGGCTCTGAGCTGATATTTATGCCTTGAATAAGACTATTTGTGGGGGGACACATGCATCATGGTTTCAATGACTACCTCTTAGGAGAGAGAAGTGTCTGGGTGACAAAGATAGGAGAGAGACTTTATTGTATTCCCTTTTGTACTCATTGACTCTTGAACCACATGGATATATTACCCATGCCAATACATTTTACATTCAAGGGAAAGACTTTTAAAAAATGTATAAAGTTGGGCGGTGCCTGTGGCTCAAAGGAGTAGGGCACTGGCCCCATATGCCAGAGGTGGTGGGTTCAAACCCAGCCCTGGCCAAAAACTGTAAAAAAAAAAATAAAAAGATGTATAAAGTTAAATGCTAGAGAATTCTACCTGACAATGGCCATGCCATTCCGGATCTCAGCCCCAAGGACTGCATCTACCAGCCTGAGGACGGAACCTGAGGCCAGGCAGGCACAGGTATATGAGTTCTGGAGAAACAGGGAAAATCCAGATAGAGAGTGAAGGAGAGAGCAGTCCTACCCACTCAGCTCCTTCCTCCTGAGTAGGGTGAGCATAAGCACAGGGCATGCCAGGTCTGCCACCACTCCCTTCCCCCACAGTTCTCATCCATACCGGATGCAGATAAACTGAGTCATAGGTGTCTGCTAGCAAGTGAAGCTCCCTCTCATTCATGTACTGGGTTGTCTCCATCAGATCAATGTATTCTAGGCTGGATACAGAAGAGGATGAGATTCAGGGCTTTTTCTCTTCCCCAGATGAGCCACCCATACACAAGACCCCTGGTCGAATCAGGCCTCCCCAACTGTCAACCTTGGGCACACATTCTCTTGTTTCTTCCCTAGCCCACCTCAGTTCCAGTAATATCCTTTGCTCCCTTGCTCTAAGGATTTGCACACCAAATCCTACTTCCAGGCCTTTGGCCAGACTTTTTCAGCTGTGTTACTCCCTTCCCTCAGCCCTCCTATTTATCTGGCATATTCTTTTTTTGAGACAGAGCCTCAAGCTGTCCCCCTGTGTAGAGTGCAGTGGCATCACAGCTCACACCAACCTCCAACTCCTGGGCTCAAGCGAGTCTCTTGCCTCAGCCTCCCAAGTAGCTGGGACCACAAGCGCCCACCACAACGCCTGGCTACTTTTTTGGTTGCAGCCATCATTGTTGTTTGGTGGGCCCGGGCTGGATTCGAACCCGCCATCTTAGGTGTATGTGGCTGGCACCTTAGCCGGTTGAGCCACAGGCGCTGAGCCTATCTGGCATATTCTTTTTCTCCTCTTAGAGCTCAGGTCAGTTACCATCAAGCTACCCCCCGCAAGCTACACCACACCAGGCCTCTTACTCTGGGTTCCTGTAGACCTCCGGGGGGACCTTCTGATCACTCTAGCTACGTGCGCACCATCTGCACGCAACTGGATTATAATAACATGACAGCTTATCATGGGCTGATGATATGTCAGGCTCCATGCTAAGTACCTGACACACATGGAACCCTCCTGAGGAACTTATGTTTACTAGCCCCCATGTTATAGGTGATGACACAGGTTCAGAGAGGCTCAGCAACTTGCCCACTGCTGGTCACAAAGTCCATGACCTTCCTTCCCAAAGCATTCAGCCTGCCCTGATTGGTCCAAGGCAGCCTCCTCCCCATCCCTATAGGGCTCCCAAGCCTTCACCTGTGAACCAACATCAGTTCTTCCTTTTCAGCAAACCGGGCCTGAGGAGACATGAACAATAAAGGGCTAAGGCATGGGCTATGCCCAGGTCCTGCCAGTGCCCTGCCCTCTTCCCAGAGTATCAGCTGAGGACTCACCTGGAAGGACACACAGCGATCTAGGAGGCCCTCCTGGATCAGCTGCTCCTTGATGGCATGGAGCCGCTCAGGGCCTTCAGGGAAGCTGGGGAGAGGGAGAGACAGTCACACATACATATGCCTGGGGACACTGGGGAGCACCACATCTCTCCATCCATCTTTCCATGACTGCTCACCATAAAACTGCGGCATCAACCCTGTCTCCTGTCAGCTCCAGAGTCTGACCGTCTCCTCATTGCAGCCACTGCTACTACCATGATCTCCTACCTGTGCTGTTGCATCATCTTCTCCCATGCCTCCCTGCTTCCACCCTCATTCTTCCAACGGTCCTTTCCATGTACAGCAGCCAGATATTGGTTAAAACCCTGATCAGATCATGGCCTTCTGAGGCTCCCAACCCATTCTGAGTAAAATCCAAAGTCCTTCCCATGCCCAGAAGGCCCTAAACAACCCGTCCCTCATTACTTCTCTGACCTTATCTCCTATCACCCTCCCCTTCCCTTGATTTGCTTCAACTTGCATCAGTTTCCTCCCTGGTCCTCAACTGAACCCAGTACTCTCCAGCCAGCTCCAGGGACTTTACCTACCTGGCCTCCCTGTCCAGAACACTCTTCTCTTGAATGTCTTCATGGCATTCCCCTCACCTCTTCAAATCCTACTCAAATGTCAGTGAGGCCTATGCTAACCACCCCATTTAAAATCGAAGAGCCCACTCCACTGCACTTTCTATTCCTATCCTCCTGTTGTAGTGCTTCTCCATAGCATTGCTCTTCCTAACACGCTGTATCATTTCGTTGTTTGTTTACTGTTTGTCTTCTTCCTTCACCCTGAAGGCAGGGGGTTTGTTTACTGCTATATCCATAGCTCCTCAATATAAATGAAGTCTTTTGCCATTGTGAGTTAGTCTTAAGTTGGGATAGGATAGACAGATACTAAACTGGCAAGCACATACATATAATAATTAACAATGATGAAGTATGCGGGTTAGAGAGTAGTGGCCAAAGCCCTCTCTGGGTAAGTCTCACTGACATGTGAAAGTTAACCGGAAGAGAAGGTAGAAATCAATCTCTGGAAAAGGGATAAACTAGGGTTAAGACCCAAGATAAGAGGGTACATGGAATGTTGGAAGGACAGCAAGGGGACCAGTGTGGGTGAAGTGAATGAGGGGGAAGATTAGTGGATGAGGTCACAAAGGCAATGTGGAGCCAGGTCACATGGAACCTTTGAGGCAGAAAAAAGAATTTGGACTTTATCTTGAGGGTAATAGTCTGTCCCTGAAGTACTTTAAGAAACAGAACATCTCCTACATAATTATTTTTCCTACTTTGTGCAGAGCAGACAATAGGGGTAAGGCTGGAAGCAGAGGATCAATAAGGAGGCCTCTGCAAGTCTAGATGAGTGATGAAGGTGGTGCCAGTGAAGGTGGAAAGGAGTGGTCAGATACTGAATATACTTCAAATATAGAGCCAAAAGAATTTACTAATTCTTTTGAAAATCAGAGGAAATGGGAGGTGTTAATCCTTCTGTTTTAGCACAAATGTCTCTTCCTTAAGGAAGGCTTCTGGGAATCCTGGATGCTCTATTAAACACTCTTGAATCCCTAAGTCTTATGTTTGTCCTCATTAAACATTTCATATTGCCATTGGCTACTTAATGATCTGCCTTCCTACTCACCAGCTCCCTGAGAAGGTACCCTGTCTGGCTTGATCAGCACATTTGTATCACCAATTCAACATAAATGTTTACTGGCTAAATGAGAAGAACCCTTTCGGCTCAGCGCCTGTGGCTCAAGTGGCTAAGGCGCCAGCCACATATACCTAAGGTGGCGGGTTTGAATCCAGCCCGGGCCTGCCAAAACAACAATGATGGCTGCAACCAAAAAGTAACCGGGAGTTGTGGCAGGCGCCTGTGGTCCCAGCTACTTGGGAAGCAGAGACAGGAGACTCGCTTGAGCCCAGGAGTTGGAGGTTGCTGTGAGCTGTGATGCCACGGCATTCTACCCAGGAGGGAGAGCTTGAGGCTCTGTCTCAAAAAAAAAAAAAAAAAGAAGAACCCTTTCAAGCATGAGCTCCACCTCCCTACATCATCAGCCACCAGTCTCTAGGCTGGTGTAAGAAAGGATATATACTTGTTAATGGGTTCTAAGTGCATGTATTTAAGTGGTTTGGGGACAGCCTGGTGGACCTGGCCTCACCTGTCATCCCAGAGGCAGTGGAATTCATTTAGCTGTTCATCCAACACCAAACCAGTGCCAGACAGTGGCTTGGCCTCAAGGTTCAGATCCTGCAAGGGAAAAAAGTGAGACACAGATCCATTTAGGGCCTGAGTCACAGGGGACATCTTATACTGTTCAGGGTGGGGAATCTAAAGGTTTTGTTACAGGAGGCTAAATAACAGCCAGGCCCCTCTCACCATCCCTCGAAGCCCCAGGATTAGGTCTTGTTCAGTTGCTTGGCCAAGCTTCTTCATTTTGCCTTTCTTCTTCACCTCCGCTAGATTGGGGCTGGAGTGGGGTGCTGCACCCTTTTTAATGCTCCGCTTCTGCCAATTAGAGAGAAGGGTCAGAGTCCAGGGCACACGGTCGGCTTGCTTCCCCCTCCCTCTCATTAGGACAGGTCTAAGGGCCTCACCGAGGTGACACTGAAATCGGGTGGGGGCACCTGAGGGCTGTGCCTACTCCTTCGCTGTCTGGTTGTGGTGGAATCCTGGCCGGTGGAGGTCATGGTTGGGTAGACTTCGTCCCTGCTGCGGTTCTGGGGGTGGGGGTGGGGTGGAGGTGGCTGTGAGGGGACTGCTGTACCCTGAGGACCCCACAATCCTGCCCCTTTCCAGGCCCCACCCCCTGTAATAGACTCCATCTCATTCCCCATTCCCCACTGCCGCCTTCTAAACGCCTACTCTCTCAAGGCCCTTTCTCTCCACTCAGGTGTCCATTTCACCTGGTGATGCCCGGTCCACCCTTTTTACATGATCCCCTTTCCCGTCTCACTCTTTCACTGAGCAATTAGCCCCCAGATTCATTCAGCCCGTCCTAGGGCCTGCCCTTTCCAGCCAATCACTACCCGGCTCCACTATCATGCCCCGTCCCCAGTCTCTTCGATTCATCTAAACCTCGCCCATACCTCATCTCCTCACAAACCTGCTCTTTCCGGCCTATCTTTCAGGATAATCACCCACCCTTTCCCTCTGCCAGACGGAGCCCTGGCCTCGACTCCACCCGTAACGTTCACTTGACTCCACCCCTTATCTGGCTGGACCGGTACCTTCCACTCTGCCAGATCCTGTCCCTCAGGGAACTGCCCCTTTCCCTCCACTAGACACCACCCCCTGCCCAGACACGACATTTCACCAAGCCCATTCAGCCAGTCCCAAGCCGCCTCCCACCAGCCTCCGCCCTCAGCCCGCCTTCGCCATCGACGAGACCAATCCTTTCGGTTCCACTCACAGAGCGCAGCCCCTTTCTCAAACTCCGCCCTTGGCTCGCATCGCCAAACTCCTGGCGGCCTGTGGGGCCACGGGTGCCCGCGCCTCTCTTTTCCATTGGGCTGGGTCTCTCTACTGCCCGCCCAGATACCGCCCACAGCGGGACTGTTGCCTCAGGGCCGCGCCCCTCTCGCGGGCCACACCTCTCGCGAGGTCACGGGCTGCCTATTGGCGCATCCAGGCGCGACTCCCGCCGCATTGCGCCTGCGTGAAGAGCGTGCCGGCCGTTTGAAGCTGAGCAGAGGTTCAAATTGTCCCCTCCCCCAGTTGCCGCTGATATTGTCCTGGCTGTCCTAGTCGCCGTCCCCCCGTCCTTGTCCACTCACCTTGGGAGCTCTCCGGACCCACGCCAACTGTGCTGTGCAGTCTCTCAAGAACAAGCAAGGAAGTGAAAGAGTTAGGAAGGGGAGTCTTCTCCCGGCGGCTTCCCGCGTGTCGCGTCGTAATGACGTTGCAAGGGCGGGCTAGTGGACAGGCCGAGAGCGAGGTTGACACTGAGCAAAGGCTGATGGCGGTCAAATGGGAGTGGTGATGATGCTAAATGTGAAGATTTTCTGACTTAATATTCACTATGGTGGTACACAGGAAGCACTCACTGAATGTTAGCTATTATAATAATCTGCCACGAAATGGGTGGTGGGGTGGAAGGAGTCTTGGAGGCAAGTAATGATAATGATAGAAGTATTTTATGACAGGCATTGTTGGAAGCCTGCCACAATTCTGTGAAGTAGTGGCCATTATTAAGGCTGCTTTGCAGATAAGGAAACTGAGGTTACGGGACTTAGCCATGTGATATTGGGCAAGTTACGGAACAGCTCTGTGCTCAGTTTCCTCATCTGGAAAATTGTAATAATAATAGTGCTGAGAGCCAGAGTGGACTCAGAGAGGAGTTTCTCATGAGTGGCAGCTCTCCATATTTGACCCCTCTGCTGTGAAAACTCTGCTTCCAGGCTGTAATAAAAAGTGTGTGTGGGCTTGGCGCCTGTGGCTCAAGTGGCTAAGGCGCCAGCCACATACACTCAAGGTGGCGGATTCGAATCCAGCCCCGGCCCGCCAAACAACAATGACGGCTGCAACAACAACAACAAAATAGCCGGGCGTTGTGGCCGGCGCCTGTGGTCCCAGCTACTTGGGAAGCTGAGGCAGGAGACTCGCTTGAGCCCAGGAGTTGGAGGTTGCTGTGAGCTGTTATGCCACAGTACTCTACCCAGGGGGACAGCTTGAGGCTCCTGTCTCAAAAAAAAAAAAAGTGTGTGTGGGCCTAGGGGGTTTAAGGACCTTTCCCTGTGCCCCCCCCAACTCCCACCCTGTGGCTAAATGTCTAAAGGTTGGTTTGTCTTTTCTAATCTCCCTCCCTCATTCTCCACCATTTCCTACAGGGCTGTAAGCTGGGGCCAGAGAGATAAGGGGTCTGGGGTCAGCACTAGCTGACTAACAGATTGACAGCCCCACCACTCAGTAGTGCCCTCCGATCCTCTTGAAGATGCCTAACTCCTAGTCCCTTCTACTCTTCCTACCTGAACATGCCTTTTGTCTCAGCGCAAGAAGGTAACAGACCCAAGACTTTCAAATCTCTACATGCACCAAAGACAACATATATGGTGATACACACTAAAGAACATTCTGGGGTTATGATGTCTGTGAAGTAATAGTGTAGGGAGTCTTATAAAGGATCAAGGCCCATTTTTCTTTTCTTTTCTTTTTCTTTCTTTTCTTTTCTTTCTTTTTTATTTTTTTGAGACAAGTGTCTCACTTTGTTGACCCTGGTAGAGTACTATGGTGTCATAGCTCACAGCAACCTCAAACTCTTGGGCTCAAGCAATCCTCACCTCGGTTTTTCATTTTTAGTAGAGACAGGGTCTCAGTCTTGCTCAGGCTGGTCTTAAACTCATGAGGGCCATTTTTCTGTACAGTAGGAGGAGAGATTCCTGCAGAGCAAACTTTCTTTCTTTTTTTTTTTTTTTTGAGACACAGCCTCAAGCTGTCCCCCTGGGTAGAGTGCTGTTACGTCACAGCTCACAGAAACCTCCAACTCCTGTGCTCAAGTGAGTCCCCTGCCTCAGCCTCCCAAGTAGCTGGGACCACAGGTGCCTGCCACAACACCCGGCTATTTTTTTTGTTGTTGCAGCCGTCATTGTTGTTTGGCGGGCCCCGGCTGGGTTCGAACCCGCCAACTTAAGTGTATTTGACTGGTGCCTTAGCCACTTGAGCCACAGGCGCCAAGCCAAAATTTTTTTTACAGAGTGTTATGTTACCCAGTCTGGCTTTTTTTTTTTTTTTTTTCCTGAGACAGAGCCTCAAGCTGTCACCCTGGGTAGAGTGCTGTGGCATCACAGCTCACAGCAATCTCCAACTCCTGGGCTCAAGCGAGTCTCTTGCCTCAGCCTCCCAAGTAGCTGGGACTACAGACACCCGCCACAACACCCGGCTGTTTTTTGGTTGTAGCCGTCATTGTCGTTTGGCAGGTCCGGGCTGGACTCAAACTCGCCAGCTCAGGTGTATGTGGCTGGCGCCTTAGCCGGTTGAGCCACAGGTGCTGAGCCTAATATTTTTTTTTTGAGCAAACTTTATTAAAAGGACAGATAATAAATATTTTAGGCTTTGCAGGTCATATATGGTCTCTGTGACATTGTTTTTATCACTTTTTAAAAAATAATCCTTTAAAAATGTAAAAATGGTGGGCGGCACCTTTGGCTCAGTGGGTAGGACACCGGCCCCATATACCCAGGGTGGCGTTTTCAAACTCAGCCCCGGCTGAACTACCACAAAAAATAGCCAGGTGTTGTGGTGGGTACCTGTGGTCCCAGCTACTCTGGAGGCGGAGGCAAGAGAATTGCCTAAGCCCAGGAATTGGAGGTTGCTGTGAGCTGTGATGCATGGCACTCTACCGAGGGCGAGAAAATGAGACTGACTCAAAAAAAAAAAGTAAAAATGGGTGAGCATGCTCATAACCTTTACTCAAATTTGTGTAAAAGAATTCTAAATAAAACATGTATCCCCTAATATTCTGAGAAAAAAAAAAAAGTAAAAACAGCCTGCAGTCTGTCTTGGGCCCAAAGGCCATAGTTTGTCAATCTCTGCTATAGAACATCAGTCTTTGATTTCCTTTATCTGGCTGGGATTTTTTTTTTTTTATTGTTGGGGATTCATTGAGGGTACACAGAACCAGGTTACATTGATTGCTTTTGTTAGATAAGGACCCTATTATATTTGTGTCCCACCCCCAAAAGCTGTACCATGCCCCTTGACCCCCCACCCTCCCTCCTTCCCTTTCTCAGCTTTCCCCATCCTCCAGTCCCCCACTGTATACTGGGAACTTAATCGTCCTCATATCAGAATTGAGTACATAGGATTCTTATTTCTCCATTCTTGTGATGCTTTACTAAGAACAACATGTTCCATATCCATCCAGGTTAGTACAAAGGATGTAAAGTCTCCATCTTTTTTAGTGCTGAATAGTATTTTATGGTATACATACACCACAGCTTGTTAATCCATTCCTGGGTTGGTAGGCATTTAGGCTGTTTCCACATTTTGGTGATTGTAAATTGTGTTGCAATAAACAGTCTAGTGCAAGTGACCCTGTGGTAAAAGGATTGTTTTTCTTCTGGGTAGATGCCCTGGCTGGGATTCTTTTATAGCAGTGGTTCTCGACCTGTAGGTCATGACTCCCCCCCCCTTTTTTTTTGCAGTTTTTGGCCGGGGCTGGGTTTGAACTCACCACTTCTGGCATATGGGGCCAGCGCCCTACTCCTTTGAACCACAGGTGCCGCGCCAATCATCACAGCCCCTTTGTAACAATGAAAATACATCGCAGCATTAGGAAAGTTGAGAACCACTGTTTTACAGGATGAGGGCAAGGGTTCTTTTTTCCCTGGGAGAGGTATTCCATTTGTTTTAGGTGTGAGGACAGGAATTCATGAACAGGGTCAGGTTACTTCTGGTCTTCCTCTAGCAGGCCAAGCAGATTCCTGTGATTAAGGAATGAAGTCAGGGATTCCTATAGTTTCTACACTTTTCCTTCTTTACTGAATAAAGCATGTGTTTCTATATAAGAGAAGACAATAGTTTTTAGAGAGCTCTAGACTATGGGTTCCTGTACATGTTCAGGATGGGCATTCTTAGACTATAGTATGATGGATTCCTACAAAGAGATAAGGTGGTCCAATGCTGGGTCAGCACCGGTATTTCTGTATAGGTTTAGAGCTTCTGTTCATATAGACAGTAAGATCAGGTGTTCATGTCTAGATTCAAGTTAAGAAATTATTATTAGGGAGGT